TACTTTGAAACAAATGAAACTGTAAAGCTTTGGCAAATTGATGCCCCTAAACATATTCTCCAGATACGATATTGTAGTGTTCTGTCGTACCACAACTGTCTTTACATATCTTCAGTGAGAAATGTGGTTATTGGTTTTCGAAGTTCGTATAGTTGGTACCACATTTCTCACAGAAACGTCCCAAACTGGTTGGTAATAATTGACTTTCCTCCCACTTGTTCTTTTTTTAGTTACTGCTGCGTAAAGAAACAGAAACTTGTAAAGATTCTTCGTCATGCTGTTGTTGAATATTCATTTTTCTTTTGAAATAAGGTCACTTGTGTTCAGAACAGTCTCTTTTCTTGAGGGGGACGAGATTTCGGCGGGAAGAATGGCGGTTGGCGAGGAAGAAAGATGGAAGACGTTAGAGTGACGTAAAAGCACATGCGCACTAAAGATGCGTGATGGACTCGTGTTGCAAACACTCGTCAGCGCCACGCTTCACTGCAACTCGACGTCAACAATATTCTGAAATACAGCGCGCGGGAGAACGGAGAATTTGACTGCAAGAAGTCGCAAACATTTCGTTTGAATTGAGCATTATTAAAAATGTATTTAAAGCGTAATATATTTGCAGCAATATGAGATTCTGTCGTTTGTTAAAATTCGTTGCAATAGGCGTATTATTCAATGATGAATGTAGTCTTGGTAATTAGAATAATTTGTGTGTCAAACTAAGAGAAACGCGGAAGAAAATGATTTTTGGACGACATCGATTCAGTCACTTGGAAAATATTCTACTCATCGTCACGTAAGTAAACTTTTGTGCAGTTACATGAAAATGAGTTTGTAATTAGGTGCATTTATAATTATGTAGTTATGTAACATTTAGTGAAACTCTAACCTATTAATCAGGAAGTACAATGTTAAGGAGATATTCCACACATGTGATTACTAGTTTGATACATTCTGTTATTTCGTGTGCCATCTATGCTTCTGTACGCTGAACAGGTGGTTTCTTTATTTGTTTGTATACAATGTCACCACCTGCATATGATTTCTGACATTTCTATTCTGTCTTATATTTTTTGTCAAACGTGCGTAATTGCAGCAGTGGATTTAAATATTATATTTAGTTATTGTTTAGAAACATTATATTTGTCATTAACAAGTTAAGTAGTTTCGTTTAGTTTAATTATTTAGATTACTTTGCGTTGCGATTGTATAAGTTCCAGTAAATAATATAAAATACAAATTATTTAATGTTTTTGGCAAACGTCATATATTACATGCTGAAGACGCTTAAGTGTATGGTTATTGTTTTGTAACTTCCTAAACATTCAAATGTCAAACATAATTACCTACCAAGCTTGACAACATGGGTTACAAACTTCTATAAATACCTCCTTAATAATTATTTGATTTCTATGTGTTGGTCTGGGGGTATATTATAGTAAGGGTCGGCGACCTATATATTGCCGCGGGCACCATTTGACTATTCAAATCTTTGTCTAACGCCGCAGGAGAAAATTAATACCGTATGCAGTAATAGAAACTGTATTTTATTAACCATACCATTGAGTTTATCGTTAAGACATTGTTTGCTAGCTTTAAGACACTTTCGATTTAAAGTTGTTAATTTTATAAAACTTCAGTTGTTGTTGTTGTTAACATCACAGCACTTTTCATATTGTTTTGTTGAATGCAATGTTGTTTAAACAACGAAACACTGTATAATTGAATAAAAATTTACTTGGATATTATCCATCGTCTAGTAAATATAAAACGTAAAACGACGTTTCGGAGATGGGACTCTATCTCCGTCTTCAGGTTCCTACACAGTTGGGCCCACTACATAGAGCGTTTTTTTATGAAACGTAATGAGTGAGCGGTTTTCAGCCTTTCTCCATGTTCGAGATATTACAGGGTCGACTATCGACCCAGAGACTGACCATTTCTAATGAGGATATTTTTCGATTTTTCTTTGCGTGATCTGCAATTGCTATTAAGTTACATACATCAGTTTCTCTGAATTATAAACGCCTACAAATTTTGCGTGAAACAGGCCTACTGTTTACGTTAGTAACAATTATATTCATGGTGAAGATGCCAACTTTGCTGTTGTACCTTAAACATTTAATCAGATTCAAATCAGACGACAAATTGGTGGAAATTGCAACTAGTGGATCACTAAATAGTATGTTTCTTTTTAAGACATGAAGCTTTCACGGCGACTGAACTCGGTAAAATCTTGTAGGGCAACAGGCCATGATTATTTCCGTCATTTCCCTGATGATGGAGGAGGCGATGGTCTCTGAAACGTTGGGCTTTTACACGGCTTGTTGCCCGAGAAGATTTCATCGAGTAAGTTTCTTGTTTCCGATACGTCGATGTGCCCGAATTTCCGCTAGACGCTTCATTTAATTTCCATGTAAGAGGATGTTATGACTTGTTCCAGCCGTTATTCCATCATCGCAGTCAGGATTTACAATATTTTAATTCTATTAATACCGTCAAATAGGTATGATGGAGGCTTTAGTAATGTGGAAAACTTTAGCAATATTAATTGCAATCCACCACTGATTCACTTGTGGGATTTGAAGTTTTCACGGCGGTGAGCCTGAAGATTTCTGTCTTCTGGGTTGTTGCGCTGTGTAGTCTGGTAGATGTTTACCAACGTTTCGGAGGTCATACTGCCTCCGTCATCAGAGTATGAAGATTTCTGTCTTCTGGGTTGTTGCACCGTGTAGTCTGGTAGAAGTTTACCGACGTTTCAGAGATCCTTGCTGCCTCCATCATCAGGGCGATGATCGTCTTCGAGATTAACTTGTTAGAAGAGATCTGAGTAAGAACATTTTCCTCTTTTATACCTGATGGATAAAGAACCGGTTTCCGAAACGTTTTGTTTTAGAAAAACTAAGACGGTGAGCAATGTCAATAACAAGGCAGTGATCTTGTATAGTGTAACGTAACATGCCATCGCCAGAAACATTTAGATAGCATGAAATTTTTTGAACAATATGCATGAAATAATAAAATTAATGCATATGGGACTGATCATGTCTGTCCGAATGGTTTAACTCGAGAACCGCTGGACGGATTTGGATTAAACTTGGCATGGACTTTATGACATTAGAGACTTCTCTAAAATAGTATAACCGCTTGTGTACGCTATCACAGGATTAAATCGCTTTATGAAGTACCATTGTTAATTTATGGCATTCAAAGAAGATTTTTATGACAATCTTGTATAGTTTGAAACTAAGTTGTGTACACCATACTGTATAATACACAGATACGTTCTTTCGAATTCTGAATTACTAATAAAAGATTACTTAGACCTTTCCAGTCCTGTTACTTCATATAACTTAAAGTTGCCTTATATTTAATCGTTCTTGCGCGCTAGGAGATTAAATGTTCGCATAAAACCCATTAAGAGCTAAATAATTCGTTAGGGTATTCACAGTTTAAATGACCCGCACTTCTCGCATCTTTCGTGTTTCCAGTATAACGCAATCATGTTTGTACACTAGGGCGGCAAAAATTGACGGGGACAGACTTCAGTAATTTAAACGGTACTTGGAAAATCGTGGGACTGAAATCTTCAATTATGACATTACTCTGTGATTTTCTGCGGGGACTGCGTTTATTCCAGGGTACCGGACTTCAAATCCTGTCCGTAACGTGTGGGACATTGCGGTTCAATCTCACAAATTCATGAGACAGACTTGCAGGTTCCGTTTTGAACCACGGGTTAAATGTTGCCGATACGAACGGCAGTGGATCATCGGGTGGGGGGGGGGGGTTTTTGTGGAGATGGGATAGGAGTGCAGCGGGTTGTATACTACTGTTAAAGTGCAATGAGCCGATAATGAGATATGAACACAAGATTAGTTTTGGTATTTGTAGATTCACTGTTGCTGGACTTGTATTCAGAAGGTACGTCGGTTCAGTCTTTTATAGGTTTTAGGACACACTACCTTTTAATTTTCGCGATTTTTCTCAGTCTCCTTAAGCTCGTACTTTCGAATATACTACATGACTGCCTCCATCCTATCTTGAGATGGCTGACTTTCGGTTTCTTACGCCGTGTAGTCTGTAGCAGTTTATCGACGTTTCAGATGTACTTTTTCTTCTTTGTTCGATTCCTTCCTTCTTTGTTTCATTTCTTATTTTATCTATTTCCAACTGCCCTGTCTTTCTTTCTTTCTTTCCATCTATATACCTTAATCACAAACGTTATTCTGTAGACCTATATTCACCTTATATAATGTTATATCTTTCTTTCTTCACTTTTTGTATTTAATTATTTCGATGTTGTATCATATACTTTTGTCATTTTATTCCACCCACTTAACATGTACAATTTAATACTGTCTCTTTTATAATAAATGCATGTATTTATTTAACATTGCACAGACTTTTTAAAGAAAACGTTTAAAGATAACCTTGTTTGAAAATAATTGGCTTCTGAACAGAACGGAGGAAAATAGTGAATGCATTTGTGTAAGGAACTGTTGCGTGAATGTTTGAACATCCTGTAGATTCCTTGCCGAGAACTGAGCCCCGGCCTTCCCTCCAGTAGCCAGCCTCTGTACCCAATTATCTCGCCGCGTGATCATCGTTCAAGCAGATATGTCATTTCGTACTTACTGGAGTTCATGCCCTGTTAATTTCTCTCATATCTCATTTACGTAAACAAAGATCATTAATTAAAGTGAGCGATACGTAAGATTCTGAGATCTTCTTTATCTTCGCTGCTTGTCTTCACTTCTATATTGTCATACTTGCATTTGAGGCAGTCAGAACAAACATCATAAAACGTAGACCATACATTCTTGGTACAATTATCAACAATACCTGAGCGACCTCAGTGTGAACTTGATATAGAGAAAGCTTTCTCAGGGTTGAATTTAATGTGCATACAGATAATAATTTTATTCCGCAAATACAGTATTAAGCTAATCGATAGTAACAATATGGGGATCTCGCGAAGTATGTTAAGCTCTTAATAATAATTAATTAAATTATTCTGAAAGAAACCTGTCCTACTCTAATTTTGCGTGCTACAGTTTCCAGGTGGACCAACTTGTGATTGACAGCCAGCGTTTAACCACCTCAGCTAATTTAAGAACAATCTTCCAGTATGCCTACTGGTTGTATTAAACGTTACATTGGTGTCTTTATGAGCCCTTAAAATTCACATTGAAATCTACGACTTGTTTGAAAATTCCTTAATTCCTTCCCTTCTATATTCCAGTGCTAGTTTATCGTATATTCTACTTTTTTTCCCAGTTAGGTAATGCAATCCCTTTACCAGCTTTATAATCATCTTCCCAGCTTCTAATTGGTCCCCATCCAACTCCACATCCTATAAGTTTATTATCCCACCTGTCTTGATCCACTTTATCTATATGGCCCCTCACGTTATATATATATTAATCTCTTCAACTCAATTATCAGCTTTAAGTTTCTTAGGTACGGTCGTGACATTGTTTTGCTTGCTATTTAATCTTGCATGTTCAGCTAAGTGATTTAGACGATATAATTTCTGCCTACTCTGTTCTACGTTTGTCTGTGACACTCATTTTTATAACCTGTAAATTTTTGACTCCTCCTGAAGGCACCACACGAGAAAATCCATGAATAAAAGTAGATAACTGTCTTCCGCCGTGTAGCGCCGTGTAGTCTGGTAAAAGTTTACTGACTTGTTTGAAGAACTTCCTACCTCCATACTTCCATTATCAGGGCGATGAGTAAACTTGTTCGTTGACCTGTAAAAGTAAAGTAAATCAATCCCGCTACACGCCG